TTTCGATCAGGAAAACCTTTTGAAAGTACGAGGCCCTTGGGTTTTCTTCATTTTCCACCAAAAATTTCCAGTTTTCCAACGAGGTGAGTGACCAGAACTTTGGTTTGATCAAGTAAGCTTTAGAATGTTAATTTTCCAATGAATTTTCCAGTTTTCCAGGGCTTTTTCAATCAAGAAAAGACTGTATTGAGTGAATTTGCTTCAATTTTTCTCCAAAAACTACCATTTTTAGACTTAATAGTATCCTACTTTATCTCTCTCTTTGTCTTACTCACTATCAAATTATTAGTCGGCCATTTTGAAGTGTCGTGTTTACATTTTTATCCAGGTTTTCCTCGAATTTTCCACTTTTCTAGAGTTTTTTCACTCGGGAAAACTGATTTAAAGTACAAGGCTTTAAGTTTTCTCCATTTTCTGCTAGAAATTTCCAGTTTTGGATCCATTAATTTACGGTCAAAAGGTAATTTTGATGTGGTAACACCGCTTGTAGCTAACTTCATTCAAATAGCTCTTGCCATTTTTTGACAGTCGACCATTTTGAATTAACGTGTTTACATTTTTATCCAGTTTTCTCTCGAATTTTTCGCTTTTCAGGTCGTTATCAATCGGGAAAACTGGTTTAAAGTGCGAGGCTTTGAGTTTTCTCCATTTTCCACCAAAAATTTCCAGTTTTCGAACGGGGTGAGTGACCAAAACTTTGATTTTTCAAGTAGGCTAAGATGGTAAAAAACTATTTAAAATGTAATATTTTTTTATTTGAGATGTGGCAACGTCGCTCTCAATCAATTAGGATTTGTAATGTCATTTGCCACTTTTGACAGTCGGTTGTTTTAAGAGTTTTTATCCAGTTTTTCTTCGAATTTTCCACTTTTCCAGGCCAATTTCGATCAGGAAAACCTATTTAAAGTACGAGGCCTTGGGGTTTTCTTCATTTTCCACCAAAAATTTCCAGTTTTCCAACGAGGTAAGTGACCAGAACTTTGGTTTGATCAAGTGAGCTTTAGAATGTTAATTTTCCACTTTTCCAGGGCTTTTTCAATCGAAAAAAGACTGTATTGAGTGAATTTGCTTCAATTTTTTAACCAAAAACTTCCATTTTTAGACTCAAATAGTATCCTACTTTATTTCTCTCTTTGTCTTACTCACTATCAAATTATTTTGAAGTGTCGTGTTTACATTTTTATCCAGGTTTTCCTCGAGTTTTCCAGGGTTTTTTGAGTCGGGAAAACTGGTTTAAAGTACGAGGCTTTGGTTTTCTCTATTTTCTGCTAGAAATTTCCAGTTTTGGATCCATTAATTTACGGTAAAGAGGTAAGTGAGAAAAATATATTGAAAAACAAGCTTTTATAATTTTAAAATCGTTAATAATTAATTATTTAACGGGTTTTTAATAAAATTACAAGTAAAATCCCATTTTAAATGTTTTTTTTTTTGTGAAATTTTGATGTGGCAACACCGCTTGTAGCTAACTTCAATCAAATAGGCCTTGCCATTTTTGACATTAACGTGTTTACATTTTTATCCAGTTTTCTCTCGAATTTTTCGCTTTTCCAGGCCGTTATCAATCGGGAAAATTGGTTTAAAGTGCGAGGCTTTGAGTTTTCTCCATTTTCCACCAAAATTTTCAGTTTTTCAACGGGGTAAGTGACCAAAACTTTGATTTTTCAAGTAGGCTTTGGAATGTTGGTTTACCATTGAATTTTTCACTTATCCAGGGACTTTACAATTAGAAAAAGATGGTTTTAAGGGCAGGGCTTTGAATTTGCACCATTTTTTTTTACCAAAAACTTCCATTTTTAGACTTAAATTGATTCCTACTTTATCTCCTTCTTTGTCTTACTCATTAACCAAGCAGGCCTTGGAATGAATGATTTATTAAAAATAAGTTTCATATGCATTATTTTGGGAATTTACCATTTTATAAACATTATTAATTAATTATTCAATTGTATGTTTTTTCAACAATCCCTCATCCCCCCCCCCCCCCCGCTCTTTCCGAGTTAACCCGTGTATAATTTCAGAATATTGTATTGGCAACACTGAATGAAATGTCATTGGCCACTTTCCTTTTGACAGTCGACCACTATTAATTGACGTGTAATATCCAATTTTTCCTCGAATTTTCCACTTTTCCAGGCCGTTTTCAATCGGGAAAACTAGGAAAAGTGTGAGGCTTTGAGTTTCCTTTATTTTGTGCTAAAAATTTCCAGTTTTCCAAGGGGGTAAGTAATGTAATAATCAAGTAGGCTTTGGAATGTAATTTTCGCTAGTTTTTCTTTGGATTTTCCGCTTTTCCAGGGGTTTCCGATCGGGAAAACCGATTTAAAGTGCGAGACTTTGAGATTTCTTCATGTTTTACCAAAAAATTCAGGTTTTGAATGTTAGTGAGTCAAATTTTGATGTATGCAACAGTAATACAGAGGGATTTTTGTCTCGCTCAAACTCAGTGCGATTAATGTAAAAGAAGGGCTTTGTGGCCCTTTGCGGCGTGCAAATAGATCGCACTTACCTGGTTAACACTTAATTCCGCAACTTTTTTCCCATTTGGTCCACCCTGTATCTTCAAGGGTATCCAAAATCCCCATGGACATGCACCCAGGGGTTTTTCACCTTGTTAATCGGTGTACAAATCACTGATTAATATATGTCAATACCTATGTCAATAGTGTCAATACTATGCAATACTTACTTGTAGGTAATATATGTCAATACTTGTTGATATCTAGGCAATATATGTTAATATCATTGTTGATACCTATCAATACCTGTGGATATGTCAATAGCATAGCAATACCTGGTAATATGTGATAATACTAGGGAAATACCTGGCAATATGTGGAAATATTTTCTTAATACATGGAATAACTTGTTATTAGTTATCTGTTAATACATGGAAATATCTCAGTTAATCGGTGTACAAATTTTCTTAGGTGAAAAACCCCTCAATCCACCCTGTATTTTCAAAGGTTTCCAAAATCACTATGAACACCCTGTATATTCAAATAAATTAAAAATCAATTGCAGCTATATCCAATTACCGAAATGTTTGTTCTTTTAATAGAAATTTAAGCAGACATATATAAATGGAATTCCAACAATGTTGCAGCCGAGACAAATCGTTAATTATAATTTTTATGAATGAAAAACCAACTGGGCGTATAATACACAGGAACCAACCGATTGAGCAGATTTACATCTTTACAATGGAAGAATTTTCATTCAAAAATTTGCAAAAAATTGTCAGTCAACATATAAATCCATAAATTAATAATCCACCGTCTGGCATATAAGATTCTAATACACCGACCCAAACTATACAGCCGGCGGCATTTTTGTTTAGTCTAGACAGTTTGCCATTTAAAACCCGATTTAGAATGCGTCGATTGATAGACCCGGGGTCTCGCTTTGTCTAGTCCATCGGATTTTCGATACTTTTGTCTTTGTTTTCTTAAGTAAGGGTCGATATACATTAAGGTCAAATTGTAGCAGCAAAATTAATGTGTTCTTTTTTTTTTTCTCACACCTACCATCAAATTGATTAGTTTACTAGACACCCGTAGAGAGAGGCCTTGCCCCCGTTTAAAAGTCGTAGGCTGGCGTAAATTATAACTGCACATTGAATTGTTGTTAATTATTTTGCACCAGCTGTTCGCTATTTTTGTGTGCTAAATTTAGACACTTAAATCATGTATAGCATGACAACTTCTTCATAAATCAAACAAACATATATTTACATCTGAGCAAACAACATTTTAATAATGTATTTTGAGTAAACTATTGCATATCTTGGTCTCAGAAGGAATATTTCAGTTACTGAGTAAATTTGGACTTACCTTGCTGAGTTTTTCGCCCTCGTGATGCGGCAACAGACTGCGCAACGACTGGAATCCGTTGTTGATCGACTGCATGCGCCTGCGCTCGTTGCTGTTGGCGATTTCGCGGCGCATGCGCTTCTCTTGGTCCATGGTGACCGTTGGCGGTTCACCGCACTGATTTATTCTGAAACAAAAATAAAATAATTATTATAATGTCAAACTAGAAATAGTGCGTGCTTTAAGCAATCAAAATAAAGACTTTAGTGAACATAAGGGAAAAATTGTAAGTACACGTATAGGAAAATAATTAAGACTTAAGTAGTATTCAGCCGTCTATATTGTAATGTTTATGATAGAGTTTTCATTCTAAAATCTTTGAGAATAAATCTGCAAATTTTTAGAATCTCTCAAGACTTTAGTGACTTCTTTAGTTTTAAGTCATGACTCTGAAATCTTTAGTCCTAAATGAGCAGACTCTCTTTTAAAATCATGAATAATGAAGTTTTGTAGATACTTGTATCTGTATCTTTGACAATATTATATTAAGATCTGTCTCAACCACTAAAAACCCCGGACAGGTGTGTCAATGTTAATTTTTTTGCACAAAAAGGACCCTGAGGGCCAACACCTGCCCAAACATGTTTTCGCTTGGCGCGAGGGTCGAAATTCGTCTTCAGGGTCGACAAGAAGAGAGGGTCCGGGCCCTTTATTATTCGGGAAGTTCATTATTTGAACTTGTCCTTGCTTGTTAAAACGGAGGAAATGATTATATAATTTAAACCTGTTCAAACTTGGTTAATGTATGAAATATAACTTCAAAGTTTTAATTAGTTGAGAGCAAATTTATAGATTCTTCATACAAAAACCAAGGTGTAAAACATTGAAAGTAGCTAAAAGAGTTATGAAAACTTCCTCTATAATTTGATAAATACTTCAATATTTTCGAATTATCTTATTACTTTCTCATGTAGCTTTAGGCTTTTCATGGTTTCTCAAACTTTACCCAATTTACCAGAATTTCCACAATATTCATCGCAATTTTCTTTTGATTTTCTTGGGTGTGATCAATTTCACATTGAAACTTTCTCTTTTAAGTATTTAAAAACATTTTCAGTAAACTTTTTGAGATATCCAAAATTACTAGTACTTTTTTTAACTTTTAGAAACTGCCTTCAAACTTTCCTTTACTTCCTCTCTAAATGTTCCTTTAGAGGTGAAGACTTCACAGATAGTTTCTTCTCAAATTTTATGTGAAAACTTACTCTATAATCTGATAAATACTCCTTCAATCTTTTTGAATTTTCTTAATACTTTCTCATGTATATTTGGGCTTCTCCAAACTTCCTCAGACTTGCATAATTTGAATTTTCTCCGAACTTTCCCAATGTTTCCTCAGATTGTGCCTAATTTACCTGGATTTCCGCAAAATTCATTGAAACTTTTCTGCAAGGGGCAAACCACCTAGGAATTCTTTGCCAAAAATGTGGGGAATTTGTAGAAACTCATCCGAATTTATGAGAATTTGCGGAATTTATAAGGAATTTGGAGGAATTTATGGGGAATTTAGGAGAATTTGTGAGGAATATATGAGGAATTTAAAAAAAATTGTCAAATTTAAAAAATTCAAAAGAATAATGAATAGAGTTTTTGTAGGTTGATATCCAAGATTTTTTCATGTTACTGTTTTCCACTGGAAAATTTTGAAATTTTGGGAAAATGAGCTTCTCACCTTCCTCTTAACACGCAAAAAGTTTCAAAATATTCCCTTTACTAGTTTTCCAGGAAAACTTTGGAATGTGTGAGACTGTATTTTCAATTAATTCAGTTATTGTAGGTTGATTTACAAGATTTTTCATGTTGCTATTTTCCACTGGAAAATTTTAAAATTTTGGGAAAATGAGCTTCTCACCTTCTTCTTAACATGCAAAAAATTTCAAAATGTTCCCTTCACTAGTTTTCCAGGAAAACTTTGAAATGTGTGAGGACTGTATTTTCAACTAATTCAGTTTTTGTACGTTGACTTCCAAGATTTTTCATGTTGCTGTTTTCTACTGGAAAAATTTGAAATTTTGGGAAAATTAGCGTCTCACTTTCCTCTTTACATGCAAAAGGTTTCAAAATTTTCCCTTCTCTAGTTTTCCACAAAAACTCTGAAATATGTGATACTGTATTTTCAATTAATTCAGTTATTGTAGGTTGATTTCCAATATTCCTCATGTTGTTATTTTCCACTGGAAAAATCTGAAGCTTTAGAAAATGAGGTTCTCATCTTCTTCTTTACATGCAAAAAGTTTCAAAATTTTCCCTTCACTAGTTTTCCAGGAAAACTTTGAAATGTGGGAGATTGTATTTTCAATTAATTCAGTTTGTATAGGTTAATTTCCAAGAATTTTCATGTTGCTGTTTTCCACTGGAAAATTTTGAAATTTTGGGAAAATGAGCTTCTCACCTTCTTCTTTATATGCAAAAAGTTTCAAAATGTTCCCTTCACTAGTTTTCTAGGAAAACTTTGAAATGTGGGAGACTGTATTTTCAACTAATTCAGTTTGTGTAGGTTGATTTCCAAGATTTTTCCTATTGCTGTTTTCCACTGGAAAACTTTGAAATTTTGGGAAAATGATCTTCTCACCTTCCTTTATACACGCAAAATGTTTCAAATTTTTCCCTTCACTAGTTTTCCAGGAAAACTTTGAAATGTGGGAGATTGTATTTTCAATTAATTCAGTTTGTGAAGGTTGAGTTTCAAGATTTTTCATGTTGCTGTTTTCTACTGGAAAACTTTTAAATTTTATCTTCTCACTTTCCTCTTTACACGCAAAAAGTTTCAAAATTTTCCCTTCACTAGTTTTCCAGGAAAACTTTGAAATGTGGGAGATTTGTATTTTCAATTAATTCAGTTTGTATAGGTTAATTTCAAGAATTTTCATGTTGCTGTTTTCCACTGGAAAATTTTGAAATTTTGGGAAAATGAGCTTCTCACCTTCCTCTTTATATGCAAAAAGTTTCAAAATGTTCCCTTCACTAGTTTCTAGGAAAACTTTGAAATGTGGGAGACTGTATTTTCAACTAATTCAGTTTGTGTAGGTTGATTTCCAAGATTTTTCCTATTGCTGTTTTCCACTGGAAAACTTTGAAATTTTGGGAAAATGATTATCTCACCTTCCTTTATACACGCAAAATGTTTCAAATTTTTCCCTTCACTAGTTTTCCAGGAAAACTTTGAAATGTGGGAGATTGTATTTTCAATTAATTCAGTTTGTGAAGGTTGAGTTTCAAGATTTTTCATGTTGCTGTTTTCTACTGGAAAACTTTTAAATTTTATCTTCTCACTTTCCTCTTTACACGCAAAAAGTTTCAAAATGTTCCCTTCACTAGTTTTCTAGGAAAACTTTGAAATGTGGGAGATTGTATTTTCAATTAATTCAGTTTGTGAAGGTTGAGTTTCAAGATTTTTCATGTTGCTGTTTTCTACTGGAAAACTTTTAAATTTTATCTTCTCACTTCTCTTTACACGCAAAAAGTTTCAAAATTTTCCCTTCACTAGTTTTCCAGGAAAACTTTGAAATGTGGGAGATTGTATTTTCAATTAATTCAGTTTGTATAGGTTAATTTCCAAGAATTTTCATGTTGCTGTTTTCCACTGGAAAATTTTGAAATTTTGGGAAAATGAGCTTCTCACCTTCCTCTTTATATGCAAAAAGTTTCAAAATGTTCCCTTCACTAGTTTTCTAGGAAAACTTTGAAATGTGGGAGACTGTATTTTCAACTAATTCAGTTTGTGTAGGTTGATTTCCAAGATTTTTCATGTTGCTGTTTTCCCTGGAAAATTTTGAAATTTTGGGAAAATTAGCGTCTCACTTTCCTCTTTACATGCAAAAGGTTTCAAAATTTTCCCTTCTCTAGTTTTCCACAAAAACTCTGAAATATGTGATACTGTATTTTCAATTAATTCAGTTATTGTAGGTTGATTTCCAATATTCCTCTATGTTGTTATTTTCCACTGGAAAAATCTGAAGCTTTGGAAAATGAGCTTCTCATCTTCTTCTTTACATGCAAAAAGTTTCAAAATTTTCCCTTCACTAGTTTTCCAGGAAAACTTTGAAATGTGGGAGATTGTATTTTCAATTAATTCAGTTTGTATAGGTTAATTTCCAAGAATTTTCATGTTGCTGTTTTCCGCTGGTAAATTTTGAAATTTTGGGAAAATGAGCTTCTCACCTTCCTCTTTATATGCAAAAAGTTTTCAAAATTTTCCCTTCACTAGTTTTTCTAGGAAAACTTTGAAATGTGGGAGATTGTATTTTCAATTAATTCAGTTTGTATAGGTTTAATTTCCAAGAATTTTCATGTTGCTGTTTTCCGCTGGTAAATTTTTGAAATTTTGGGAAAATGAGCTTCTCACCTTCCTCTTTATATGCAAAAAGTTTCAAAATTTTCCCTTCACTAGTTTTCCAGGAAAACTTTGAAATGTGGGAGATTGTATTTTCAATTAATTTCAGTTTGTATAGGTTAATTTCCAAGAATTTTCATGTTGCTGTTTTCCACTGGAAAATTTTGAAATTTTGGGAAAATGAGCTTCTCACCTTCTTCTTTATATGCAAAAAGTTTCAAAATGTTCCCTTCACTAGTTTTCTAGGAAAACTTTGAAATGTGGAGACTGTATTTTCAACTAATTCAGTTTGTGTAGGTTGATTTCCAAGATTTTTTCCTATTGCTGTTTTCCACTGGAAAACTTTGAAATTTTGGGAAAATGATTATCTCACCTTCCTTTATACACGCAAAATGTTTCAAATTTTTCCCTTCACTAGTTTTCCAGGAAAACTTTGAAATGTGGGAGATTGTATTTTCAATTAATTCAGTTTGTGAAGGTTGAGTTTCAAGATTTTTCATGTTGCTGTTTTCTACTGGAAAACTTTTAAATTTTATCTTCTCACTTTCCTCTTTACACGCAAAAAGTTTCAAAATTTTCCCTTCACTAGTTTTCCAGGAAAACTTTGAAATGTGGGAGATTGTATTTTCAATTAATTCAGTTTGTATAGGTTAATTTCCAAGAATTTTCATGTTGCTGTTTTTCCACTGGAAAATTTTGAAATTTTGGGAAAATGAGCTTCTCACCTTCCTCTTTATATGCAAAAAGTTTCAAAATGTTCCCTTCACTAGTTTTCTAGGAAAACTTTGAAATGTGGG